AAACTAAACAGCCTACAGTATTTTAACAGTCTTTATTTTACAGTTAAAATATATGTTTATCAAATAAAGTCTAAAATTACAACTAATCAGGGATCCCTTTACATCCATGGAATCCAAGTTTGGTCATACTGGTGGGTCATCATTCCATCTCTCAGTGTGTGTGAACCATGTAGCATCTTGGCTGAAAGAAAAAAGTCAATACTAAAGATGTCGTGCAACGGGTTGTAACTGAGCTTTTTGTTGGGAATGGCTTTTACCTAATGAAATACTATGTTTTAGTTTGATTTGTAAAATTGATTGAAATACAGTTTTTGTGCTTATAAGGCCATCATGAATTTGGTTGACTTTAAAAGTTGTACAGTTGTAGATGTACAGCTCCTCTCTACACTTAAAAGGCTAAAATCCAAAAAGGAGACTTTCCTGCTGTGAGAGAACAGTGCTAACAACACTGCTGTGCTGTGCTCTTCTCATTCCTTCTAGTGTAAATTATCACTAGTTTAGCAACTAATATACCTCACACAGTGTCACACTTATTAAAAGATAAGAAAATTTAACACTAATTATTTCTTTATGGCTGTCAAACTGTACAACTCGATAATGACTGTTTCCTCAAGAGTGAACCGTTAAAAAAATCACTGTTTGAGTATATGACTTTTCACTTGTCATTATTCAGCTGAAACAAAGCCTATGGGCCAGCCTACTACATGAGACTTTCACAACTGAATGTGTAAAAATATCCTCATAGAATTTAAAATACTATTTAGAAAGTAGCAGCTGTACAAAAATAAAACTTCTGCAAGTCTAGCAATAAATAATAACCAGACTGTAAATAAATAAATAAATAAATAAATGGAATATGATACTGTTTTTGTATCAGTTAGCTTTTTTCAATGTTCATTTTTTAAGCATATAAATACACATGAATATGTGTAAAATGGATATTTGTGAAAGGTAACTTTTGCTGTTTAGACACAGTCATACATTTAAAGGACATTCTCTACAAAGAAACATACTTTTCTGAATTTATCCTTTTATGTCATTTAAAATATATGTAAACACGATGCTGTTTCCATAAATATCTTAATTTACATAAAACACTAAAATTGACCCAAGATCCTGTATTATCTATGCCAGTCCTCTTTGGTGATACTGTAATACTACAAGAAAAATATACCAGCAGAAAACAAGACATTGTGAATGTACAGTAGGTAAACTTACACTCTGGATATGAACTGTACATACAACCAAAAGATCTGAGAATGTCAACTCACTGCATATGACCAACTCCTGTTAACTTCTACACATCAACCTGTGAACTCCAAGGTTATAATAGTTTTGGATTTTTCGTAATAGTTTAATTTTATTTCATTTTGACTTTTTCTTTTAATTCAATTAGTTTTTTTTACAGTGATTTGCTAGATTTATTAGTTATTATTGCATTTTTAATGCTTAGTTTTAGTTGAGTTTAGTTTTTATTAGTTCTAGTATTAGTGTTTTGGTACCACTTTACCATAAGTCTCCCCTTTATTGAGGGCTTATAAAAGTTTTATAGATAGGTTATTAATTTATCTGTAAACACTTTATAAATTATTAAAAAGTGTTTATTATGCATTAATTAAGGATGAGAAAGAGACAAAACTGTCTGGTTTATTGCCAAATAGTGAGACAAATCTGTTCATATTACATCTAAAGCTGCTACATTAAACATTTCAGACTAGGTTTCTACCTTGTAAGCACAACAATGTATAAACACATATTTTACATATAATATTGTACTGTATTACTGCATTATTATTCCAATACATTAATGTGCTGACAAGGCAGAAACCTAGTCTGAAATGTTTAGTATTTTAGATGTAATAAGAACATGAACAGATTTGGCTCACTATTTGGCAAGAAACCAGATAGTTTTGTCTCTTTCTCATCCTTAATTAGTGCAAAATAAACACTTCTTAATGATTCATTAAGTGTTTACAGATGAATTAGTAACTATTTATAAGCCATAAGGGGAGCCTTATTGTAAAGTGGTACCAGTTTTTTTTTTTTTTATAGTTTGAATAAACATATTTGCCAATGCATCCTCAATCTTGTGATGTTCCTGTGAGTTAAGTAACCAACAGCTATTTGGCTGCTAGTTAAAGCAGTCTGTTATAGCAACACCTTCCTAAAATAATTGTGTAACTCAATTTTGCCAACTAAAAACTTGAGCGATTATTTTAAGAGATCCACATGTCTCAAAATAAATTCACAAACACTAAAACTAAGGATATTCTATCTATAATTTTAGCTATTTTTAGTTAGTTTTGTAAAAGATTATACAGTTTTAGTTAGTTATCGTTTTCTCATTTTATTAGTTTTTATTTATTTTAGTTAACTAAAATGTTTTTTTTTTCAGTTTCAGTTTTTGTTATTTAGTTAGTTTTACTATAATAACTGGTCAACTCACCTGATGGTGTTGAGTTGCCATTTCAAGCAGTTTAAAACTTGGAACTCAATGCTCTCCAGATTTAGGGAGTCTCTGGATGAGAACTGAAAAGCTCTTCAACCACAGAAAAGCAGTTTAGTTGCCTTAAAGTGCATTGATTTTGTATGCAATGAGTTGGCTTTGCAGAGAGTTGATCAACTCCTGTTGGAAGCTGATTAAAAAATTAAAAAGAGCGTTTTAAGTTTCTAAAAACATTTTTTGTACAAACAAAAGATGAAAATATTAAACTTTTTTGTGTTACGACAACAACAACATCATCATTCCCATGTGGATGGCCTCTATGTATAATTCCTCTGCCCACACATACCCCATGAATTTGGCCGATTCATCAAAACAATCCAGAAGCACAAAGTTTTAAGTTTCAGTTTTTACTTGTGCTTGATAAGAAAAAAAAAAAGGTTACCTGTCCTCTACTACAGTTTCTACTTTAATACTGCTGGTATTCTTTACAGAACAAGAACTGAAACAAGACCGACCAGTAGATTCTACAGTCCAGCTGGAGGACATGATGTGGGATCAGGGTAATGACACACCATCAATAACACACACACACACACACACACACACACACACACACACACACACACA